CCTGACTCCTACTGGCGGCTGGTTAAATGACTCCTCGTCCCTGAGTACACTCACCATCTTTCAGCAGGAAAGGAGAGAAGGAATCCTTGTCTGGCGACAACCGCTGTCTTTTCGCACTATTATTAAGCCACGCTAACATTTTCGAAATGCTAACGTTATGTGATGTCTTTTCTGCTCTAGTCTATTGCTGCGGCGAGTCATGAGATGCGTCATGAGATGCCGCCGGCTGGGCATATTTGTTGTCATGCGTCAGCCGGTACTCAGTAAGAAGTGCCGGTGAGTACCGGCCCAATTCAAGCACTGGTGTTTTACTATGAGACTTGTGCTCCCAGCTGCATATCCAGTGTTTTTCTTAGCATTTAAATAGGTTCTGTCGGAGTATGGGAGCTAGGGCTGCACGATATTGGAAAAAACTGACATTGCGATTTTTTTTTCCCCTGCGATATGAAAACAAACTTTCTGTGGTGTAGTAAAGTAGAAGAGCCAGCTGAAATACACTACAAATATATTTTTGCCATTGTTATCCTCTCTTTATGTAACCCAGACAAGCAGAACATTTGTAATCAGCTAAATCTACACCTGGGCCTTTCAAAGACACCATCATCTGGGGGTTACACTGACGAGCTTTACGACATCCTGGTATTTTTATTTTTTGTATACTTTATACAAAGCTTATTTGTATAGGAATGTCACTGGTGTTACGTGTTACCAGGAAGAAGAGTAACACCAGTGACAATTTGGAGAAAACACTACCATTTTAACAAAATGGCTGCAATGTGTCAGACCAAATATGGCTTCAGTCAATATCAAAATCGTTTAACTCTTCAATAAAATACATTTTCACATTTAAATGTTCACCCCTAGGGCTATGCAATGAGTAACACTAATGACAGACTTGAAAGACGCATGTCAAATTTGAAGATAAAATGACACCTTTAACAAACAAAGTAAGAAGTATCTGACTTTCCTTATGTCTTTGTCCACTGCACTGTCTCAAATGATCTCTTGTTACAGGAGGCACTTCAGAGACAGTAATTTTGGGTGACTGACATTTATTTGATATTATTAATAATAATAATAATTTGCGTTTTTTGTTACCATTTCAGTGTTATATTTAATGCTTGTAATGTTATGTAAATTTGATTTATTTATTGAAAAAAAAATCTTTTAAATTAAAACTATAGGCTCCACTTCCATGTATGATCAAAGTGACAAGGCATTTCCTTGAACTTGGCATTTTAAATAAATTGCAATTTACGTATAAAACCATTTTTTATTTATTTAGTACCATTGCAAAGACAATCTCTATTTATTCAACATATATAATGAATGTGAGTATTAGGTCAACGTCATGTATTTTGGTGTCTGCAAAAGTAAGTGACAGCACTTCCACCTTTTCTGTAGAATGACCCAGATCTGGTGGAGGCAGAGATCAGACAACACAATATCCTGATTGAAAATTCAAAGATATAAGACGACACTAAATGCAGGAAAAAATGTCTGCATAAGGGATCAGCTGCTAGCTTTAGTTGAGTCATCCACACTGTGGGGATGTAGTGTGTACAGGTGGAAGTCTAGGCCTACACTGCTGGTACTACTCCACAGATCACTGCATTTGTAAAGTCACTCTAACATGTGGCAATAATGGAACAAATACATATTTTTCTGGCTCTTAATAAAAGGTAAAATCGTGGATGGCTGGATGGAAGGAAGGATGGACAGACTGACATCCATGACTGGGCTGCTGGGCTTAGCCTCACATTATACACACATTGGTGATCTACAGCCCAGCAATATTTAGGCTGTGGTGTTTTCTAAAAGCTGTTTGCTTGTCTGCAGCGAGGCTAGCATACTAAGCAGGTTCCACTTGAATAATGTGGGCAGCCAGCAGCTTCTTTCCTTGCCAACACATTATGTGTCAGGTGGTTAGCCAGCAGACGTTAGCTACCAGAGGCTAGCATTGGCTGGATGCACATTGCACTGCATCACTCTAAACAGAGCGACGGTTATATAGGTTAGTATAGATACAGCTTAGCTCTGTGTATAACTAACACTTTACCCCACAGTATTGTCTATATTACTGAAATGTAACTTTATAGGGACAGACAACATATGCTAGCTTGTTGGCGCGGCGTTGAGCCTCAGACAGCTGATGAATGGAGGAACCGCTGCTTACGTTAAAGCACAACAACAGATGAAGCCCGTACTCACACAACCATCCTCGAAATCATCCAGGAAACCATCTTTCTGGTGCTCCGTAAGCCTTTACCGCTTCAAGGGGAATCTAGTTATTCAGCTAGCGGGCTAGGTGCCCCCCATTCCCGACCAGGACGCGGTCTGTGATTATCGATGTGAACCGGGAGGCTGTCCGGTGCTGGCTGTCAGGTGTTCGGTGCTGGCTGTCAGGTGGGCAGCGGCTGAGGATGTGCTGCAGTCTCCGGCTCAGCTCTCTGCTCTCACCGCTGCTGAAGAGCTGGCTCTTAAAGGGCCAGGGCCTCACTGGGAAACGTGTCATTTGCAAGTTTAAAAAAGGGGCCCTTACGTCCTCCTATGAGTCCTTTTCAGTATTGTAATCAAGTGAAGTACATTTACTCAAGTACGATTTTGGAGTACTTGTACTTAATCATTTGACTAATGACTGTTGTATACCACACTCCACTTTACAGTGCTACACTTATTTTTAATTTAATACTGCTACTTAGTATCAACTACTATGTGTACTTTTGTAAATTGAATATATTTTTATTTTAAATACTTTGTGCATGCCTTTTTATACAAGTGTTACTATTTATACTTTGCCAACACATTTCCCCTTTGTGGGACTAATAAAGGAATTCTGATTCTGAAAAGGGAATTCTGATTATTTGAGTATTATTATTTTATGCTACTTTGTACTTCTACTCCACTACCTTTTGGCAGCAAATATTGTTCTTTTTATTCCACTATATTTACTTGACAAAACGAATGACTAGTTACTTTAGAGATCCAGATTATTAGCCAAAACTAAAATGTAAATAAACTGTTAAGATTCCCAGCAGCTCCACTAACATGGAACAGTCTGCAAAAAGAATGGAAAATTACCAAGCTAGTACCACTACATGTTTTTAAAGCTCGGTTGGATGCTACAAAATCAGATGCTGTTGGTACCTGTACATGTGGTTAAATATGTAAATTGTAATCCCTGTACATTTTGCTGTATGATGTCCTTTTGTTGTTCTGTTGTTTATGTTTTTATGTCTTCTTGTGGAACCTACTGCTGCAGGTCTCCCTTGAAAAAGAGATCATTGATCTCAATGGGATTTTACCTGGATAAATAAAGGTTTTGAATTGAATTGAATTGAGCAGCAGTATATAAAGTAATTAAAATGAGCTTCACCTTTAATAGCAGTGATGAACACATTAATGCATAAAAGTAATTCATAAATATGATTCTAATGGGACCTTATGCACAATCAGTACTTTGAACAGAGTATTTTTAAACAGTAGGAGTTCTACTTTTCAGTTCTTCTTGCACCACTGGTCCTATCCATTGACACACTTGATCATATCAGCTTAATATATTAGTGGCCGTGATAAAAGAAGCAAGATGCTTATGTGACAATGAAGATTGATTTTTTTCTTGACAGTGACTATTGTTTAAGAACAGGCAGCTGCATACTTTAAAATTAGACGAGGCAGAACTGCTTCAGGCCCCCAACTAAAAGGGCCAGAAACAGCAGTGTATTTATAGATATGTTTAGATGTAAAATATTTTTAATTATGTTTCTATTCAACTCATTGTAATCCGTAAAAGGCCCCGAAAGTTTAACTGTACCACCTACTTCCTGTTCAGAGGAAGATGGATGGCTACTACTTAATTAACCTGTATGAATTGTTTTTATTGTAGTGTGTAAGTAGTATGCTGATCATTTTAATTTTTCTTTCACACTTTAAGTAACAAAATGAATGCGTGACTTTAAATATGTGGTATTCAAACGTTTTATTAAAAGTAGTTCATTTTACTCTAGAACAGTTTTAAAGTACTTCTTCTACCTATTTCAGAGTTCTGTATCTTTCTCTATTCTTCCGTCCCCTCTCAACCCATATTCAGACCGTCTTGCATGCACCGCCCGGGAATCGAACCCAGGTCACAAGAATGGGAATCTTGTATGATACCACTACACTAGTGACTACTTATTCTACCACTGCCTATACCAACAGAAGAAAGGATGCCACGTAAAGCAAGGTGACATTTGCCTAGGCCCCCCCTCAATCATAAATGAACATGCCAAGTTGTAAAGAGATCCTGTATGTAATACATGATGGGACTTTGTTGGTTTGAGTTAACTGTATTCACACTTGCACACCACCCCCCCCCTCCCCTCCTTAGTTAGGTACTTAGTCGGGCCTCCCTGGTCCACTTACTAATTCAGAAAGAGCAGTAAAAGCTAGGTCACACAAGGACAGATATAACAGGGTGTTGCAATATTAACCCTATGGAAAGCCATTATTTACCAAGTTGGCTTTATAAAGCCAATTAGAGTGGAAAATAATAAACTTAGGGACTGATCAAATAAGATTAAATGCATCTTTGTCAGATTTAAAATGGTATTAGGCTCTCAGAAAAGGCAATATTAAAATTCTTCCACAACTTCATTCAAAATGAAAACTCATCGACGATATTCAACGCCACGTAGATACTTAAATGAAGAAAGACATTCAACCGTTTAACCGAAGTACTGAAACAAATACTTCATCATCGATATCATTAAACAGAAAAGTGCCAAATGTTTTAGTAATTGAGATTGTTTAAATCAGTAGAATTGGTAAAGGATTTCTAGTTTTTCTGTTCCATTATTACTGTAAACTGATTTTTTTGGACTTGATCAAAAAGATGAATTGATAATGAAAATAATAGTTGCAGCCCTGATTCAGATATGAAAATACATGTCCATGCTTTGTACACCATAGCTACACACACTGAGGGGTTTTTGTGTCACAAACAAACAGTAAACAAACAATAGTTTTTGTAAACTTTATTGTGAAAAATCAAAACAGACTGCTAAGATCAATATATATATATATATATATATATTGATACAATGTTAGTGGCCAGTAGTTCGTTTCTGCTGCAATTGTGATTCTTAAACAAAGTTGTTGGAGGTCTGCTGTTCAATTCAACCCATGGGACAATTATAGGTGACCCAACAACTTCAACTAAATAAATCAAACCTGCCCTATCTCTTCCGATCATTGCCTTGTGGTGAATAAAAAGAAAAAACGACTTCCTCTAAAAGTGAAATAAGAAAACAAAAATACAAAACTTTGGTCTGCTTCCCCTCACTTGCTGCTTCGTAAATTAGTTTCAGCCACAGAGGGCAGGAGCAATCAGCTGTTTGAAAACAAAAATTATATAAAAACAGGTTAACCTTGCTCCTATTTAAGATATTTCAGCGTCATCTTTATTGGAAAGTTAGCCCAGTACTCACGTTTTGTCAGTCACTTAAATGTTAGCTGAACCTCTGCTCCATCGTAAAGTCAGCTGTTACCTCCCTAACTCCCACATCTTACATATACAATGAAAACAACCAAACAGAAAAAACTGACCTTAAATACAGAGTTAATCAAAATAATAATAATTGGAAAACCACTAGAGTTTAAGCAAACTGCGTTACAGCGTTAAAGGGCTTCCTTCATCATGTTGCTGACAAGCCCATCGCCGTCTAATCCCTCCCCAAATCAAATGTTATTTTTCCCCTAACCCTGACATTCACTGCCCCAAAAAACATACAGCCTGTACTTATGTGGTGTGTGTGTGTGTGTGTGTGTGTGTGTGTGTGTGTGTGTGTGTGTGTGTGTGTGTGTGTGTGTGTGTGTGTGTGTGTGTGTGTGTGTGTGTGTGTGTGTGTGTATGTATGTGTGTAGGTGTGTGTGTGTGTGTGTGTGTGTGTGTGTGTAGAGTGGTTGTTTTTGGGACAGCGTTGAGTGAGAGGAACTAAGGGCGTCTAGGTTCATGGGCCTTCAGTGTCCCAACAGCGTCCTTCACTGCATGAAAGATGATGTTCTTCACCTGAGAAAATATATATGAGAAAAAAAGAGTGTTAAAACAAAGACATGGAGACTCATCTACATTTCTTTCCACGCTTCACTTAAATATTAACGTGCTTTGAATAACATGAAGTCCTTTTATCTGTTGTCCAGCACAACAGCAAATTAAATAAACGTTGGTATACTGCTGTGAAAAAACACTAAACAGACATAATTCACTGGTTAGTGAAATGCATGAGAGAAAAGCATATTGACCTGTAGCTTGTCTTCGTGGTTTGTATGAGTAGTGGACAGGTGTCTGAACTCCTGGGTCAGTCTGAAACAGTGCTTCACGTGCTCAGGAGACACAAAGTCCTCTGCCACCTTGATACAGCTGTACAGGTTGTGCACCTGGAGGGGAAGAGCAGAGAATGAACAAATATGCTACTAAAACAAGATAAATAAGCATCTTGAATGATCTGAATAAACGGATTTCGAACAAGCCTCTTTAATATAACACGACATGTCTTACCTGGTGTGGCGCTCCAGCAGGGATAAACACGGCATCTCCTAAGAACTGCACAATGGCCCAACCCTGGACGCCGTATTCTTCATAGAGCCTGCGGCGGAGCACCTGGTCCAGGTACCAGCTCTGGTCGTGAATGGGGTCGTGGTCTGGAGGGTTCTCTTGACCCTGCTCCTCTCCCACCTGACACAGAAACAATGACCACCATTATCTTTGGTTGTTGTTTGAAACCTGCTGAAATCTTAGATTGATAAACAAGCATGTAGTGGAGGGTGATGAGGCTTAAATTAATGCAGCTCAGCCAGCATGAAGAGGATTGTTTTTCACTATCACATTTTTGTTTGTGTTACAATGACTGACATCAGGCCATCCAACCCCCGAGGAAGATCGTCAAACTTTAAAGCCAAAACTGTGGGCCCAAAAGAGGCATCCCTATCATATTTATTTTAAGAATAAATCAGGTTATTTTCCTTCCTCTGTTCATGTGAATGAGCCCGAAACCGTAGCAGATGGGAGCTACGGTTAAAGAAAACGCTAGCGATGCAGAAGCTCGCTGGAAGATCAGGGTAACTGACAGCAATCAAATTAGACCACTTAACAACTTCCACAGGAATGAGTGGGGCCCGCCTTCGACGCTGCAACCATTTCTTTTTATACATATTAGCAAAGGCCCCTGGGTCTGAGGTTTAAATATTTTACAAGTACAGCCAATTACAATGCAGCTTCAGAGACACAATGCTAACAGAAATCTGCTAGATGCTGACCTTGCGGAGCAGCTCTCTGATCTTCTCTGCATCCTTCGCAGCGTAGATGTGCCAGAGAGCTCCAGGTTTCTCCTGTTGCTCGTACACCCTCCTCTTGGTCATTTCATCCACATCGCCCTCCTCGATGGTGGTCATGACCTCTGGAGGAACAAACACAAATGACAACAGACACACATAGATGGCATCAAAGGGTCAGCGGCAGTGTCTACGCAATGACAATGAAGGGTTTCATCGTAGTTTCCTCTTTATTGCTGCATTTACACTGCACGGCTGTCCTCGACTCAACCCACTCTTATTTGGTTTTCCATTATCAAGGGTTGTAGATCTTAGCTGGTACTTTTTTTTGTATAACCTCAGTCGACGTTCCCAGCAAAAGGCGACGTTAAAACACTACAGAGCACTGATTGGTCAGATTCAGTGGCACAAGACCAGTAGAGCTTAAAGACACCTTCAAAAGCATTTTGTTTTTAAACACTCAAACATGTTTTTTTCACTTCTAAAATGGCAGTCTGTTAAAATATGCCCTACAAATGATGCCGTGCAGATAGACATTCCTCTGTTGGGTTGCCGATGAAAGGATTCAGTGTCACATCACATTCCCGCCTACACCGAGGGGCTACTATCTGCAGGGGAATAATATAGAGAAAAGGCCACTCAAGAGTGAGTTGACTTAAGTCTAACCATGCAGTGGACATGTGGCATCAGTGGTCTCATGATTTGGGTTTTGAGCTGTGATTATTATTGTTTCAACATTACTTGAAGACAACGGTCATTTATTGAATCCATTTTGATGAGTGTCTAAACGCAAAATGCCTAATGGAGTCCGTCAAGATGCATCTTCAATTCTGATCTTTGGGAGTATATATCTTAAACAGCTGAAATAATGTACATCCAGCCCACCGTGGCAGAGTTGTAGTTCTCAACTGGTGTCTCATGACCCAGTATTAGGTCCCTGTCTATTATAGGTGAACTGCAAGATTGTAGTCATCATTCATCCCTTCTGCACTCAAACTTTTAAATTCTTGAAAGGCTTTGAACTTGATTATTTATTTATTATTGTGATGCTATGAACTATTTATAGTGTACATTGGAATGATCCACATCTCTGCTCCCGGGTGTATCTGTGCGTTTCCTTCCTGTATGTTCCTGCCTGTGTACATACGCTGCTGCTCATAACCAATTGCCCCTTGCAGGATTAATAAAGTTGTTGATTGATTGTGTGACAAAACAGGTTTACTCTGAAGTGCATTGATTTACAGAGCCTCTCCTGAAATACTGTTTTCAGCTGCATCATGTGGCTGTCATCACACCTTGGCAAACTTTTATAATAAATAATAAAGAGCATTCTAAATGACTTAACTATAATGTTTTCATCAACGATGTCTGGGTTGTGAATAAGGACAAATGTGGATCATGTGGCTGGACCAGTTGAGAACCACCAGGGCAAAGAGAAGGACATGTTGCAGACCACGCATCACATTACTGACACAACGTTCACATCCAGTCTGAGGTTGGTCCTACACTGTTGCTAACTAAAAACATTCATGACTGCCGTTTGCCAGCTTAACGCGGTATTTCCTCAGTCTGTTATTTCCGCTGCCATATGTATGCATTAAGAGAGAGTGTGTGTGCGAGTATAAAAGGTGGCAGTAGGGATTCAAGATAATATTGATTTAATTGAGTATCGCAATATTATCTTTTGTGACATTTTTAATAAATAGGTTACTTGTATGGAATTAGGGCAGAAAGTGGTTCAGATTGCACAAAAAGTATATATGTTTGTCTTTGCTCCAATGTGTAGGGAAATAAAAACTGCAATGTCAGTTGTTCTAATATCATGCAGCCCTTCCCCAAACAGACCGTCCAACACTGAAATCTATAAGTTAAGAAGAAAGTCAAGATCTCAGAAGGACAACACTAGAAATTCCAATGCTATCTGCCATCTATTCAAGGTGTTAATAAAGGTTTACATAGAAATGTACAAACATGACACAGTAACAACTAAGAGATAGTTCCCAGTGCTCTGGTCTCTACTGCACAGATAATAAGAAAGGGATGGGGTAGCGGTGGGATGAGAGGGAGTTAGTCAAGAAAAAGGACATGCTACGGAAGAAATACAATTGAAAGTCTACAGACCTTTGCGTCCATTGATATCTGCCTCTGTGAATGAAAAATGTTGCGAAACATGTAAACAAATGGGACCCACTAAGGGGTGTTTTCAGGGTCTTATCCAAGCAAATAAAGCCTGGAGCAAGCTATAACAGTACAAGAATGAAGTTCAGGAAACAGCTGGGACAAAATTATTCAATATAGTTCAGGATGGATCAGTTCAATAAAGATGATCGTCCAGTATGAACTTAGCTCCTTCTTCTTTATCTTACTTATACTCTATGCAATGTTTTTGAACTGGCATGGGGGAAAAAACATATCCATGTAATATTCTAGATAATTCATAGTTAAATGAGTGTGTTTTGGGGAAAAAAGTAATGCTTTTGTCAAGATAAAGTAGCTCTATTAAATGTTGCACTGTACAAGTGTAATGTGAGCGTGTGTTTAAGTCCACTGACCTTTCCCCGGGTCTCCCTCTATTTGAGGGATGCCAACATAGACCATGACGTTAACGGCATCAGAGACATCCAGATGGAGATTCGTGGTTCCCACCTTCCTGTCTTCAGAGGAGGTCAAGCCTGAGGGAAAGAAGGGAGTGAGGGGTTGAGAGCGAGATAACGGTGACATAGTAGGAGGGGGAAAAAGAAATGAAACGTCTAACTAAGTTGACAGGGGCTCTGCCAAATTTCTCACCATAGGCGTTGTACATCTTAGGTCCAAGATCAGGACGCACAAAAAAGTTGGGCAGACGGGCGGCGAGGTTTAAACGGCCGTCTCTTTTTGTGTACTCGGGCAAAGGGAGGTTATCCATCAGATCATCAAACCTGGCCGTGAAAGAATGTCCAAAAATGAGATTGTATTGTTTCACAAAAACAAACCAAGACCCAACTCGCTTCATACTTTTGTTTTTAAATTACAAAAATGGGTGCAAAATAAGGTGATTGTTACACATTTGAACAAGTTGGTATAAGTGCATGCATGTAGAAAACAAAGAGGTACAAACCATCAAATTACTGGGAAACTAAATGCTAAATTACTAAAGTAAGTAAAAATACATATATTGTAAAGAAAAACCTTTGGGAATGAATCTTGGTTTAGTTAGTGAATGCATAAAAGAAGAAACATATTTGTGGGTGTCTCACCTTGTGGGCATCATGTCCCTAAAGTCTTCACCTGGAGGCCAATCCTTTAACTTTAATACCATGGGATGGCCCTCAGTGTCTTGCAGTCGCTCTGCATTCACAGAAAAACACATTAGGTATCATTTCTGAGAGAAACAGGAGCTAAAACATAACATGGACGTCATTTAAATTGTTCACTTACTGGAGATGATCTCGAAGCCGTCCCAGAAGTCTCGTACCTTCACATCAGAGATGATAGCACAGTTTCTACAGTTGACCAGGTCCACATCCTGGTCACCAAACTCCCTACTGAAAGCATCAGGCCGCCACAAATTCTCTTTCAGCCGTTTATGTATCCCCGACACCAACACCGGCTGGATAAAAGAGAATAGAAAAGACAGTTGATCAAGGAGTAATGTTTCAGTCAAATCTTTCTAGTTCATCTCCGTCATGGTTCTGCCGGAGATGCCTCGGGCGTTACACTCATTGTTGCTCTTACTTGTCCCTGCTTCCAGCACTCTCTGAAGATCTTCCAGTTGTTGCTGTTGCTGGGGTCCTGTAGGCAGAGGAGTCGTCCGTCACAGAGCCAGGAGTGGGAGGTATGTGGTTCCAAAACACTTAGGCCCATGACTCCGTCTTTGCGGCCCCCCAACACCCCGAGCTCTCCGCCCTCAGAGGCCCCGGTCCGGCGGCCTTCTGCCTTCTTGGTCTCCACGACCGAAGCGATGATGTGATCCAGGAAGTTCGGGAGGCTGCTCTTCAGCTTGTCACTCTGGCAGACATAAAAAAACGTTTTTGATTACTTAGCAATGCATTTATACGTGCAGCTAAACAGACTGAATAACCGTTAGACATCCTTTGAGTAAAGCCTCATATTTTCAGAGTTAATGCTCTGCTTTATTACAACGCTCATAACCAGCAGAAATACAATTTAAAATCTATAAAATGTATTCTTTATATTATATCTCATTATACTTAGGCTACACAGATTACACTTTTTACTTAAACACCAAAATGTAATTTGGTACTATAAAAACACTTTCACTATTTAATAAGGCATGCACTGTGTAAAGAGTGATTTAAACTGACTGTTTTCATTTGAAATAAACCTGATCTGTTCTTCAATCAGAAACTGGTCTTACTGACACTCTTTTTGGTATGGGATTACACCTTTATACTAAATAGACTGTCAGTAAGACCAGTTTCTGATAGAAGAATAGATCAGGTCTAATACAAATCAGAACCTACACGGAATAATAAAAGCTTTCTACATACCCCTGCTGAGGTAAAGACAGAGGGGAAAGGCACCCCGCTCTCCCCAGGCCCCTGGGGGAGTTTCCCCGGTCCGGAGTTGAGCAGGTCCCGGAGACTGGAGCCCTCGGGTTTGGACTGGGCCATGCTGGAGCCCAGCAACAGACTGTTAAATAGCTTAGGACTGGAAGCAGAAGGCTTTGAAAGGGCACTGAGTGAGTCCAGGCCGAAGTGAGGCCGGCTGTTTTGACTCATCATGGAGCGGAGTGAACCAGAATCTGGAAGAAAATGGCAGACGGATGAGGATGGAACTTCAACGTTGATATTGATCTTTGTGCTTTTTCTACGCACTCAGATTACAGTGACTCAGTCTTTCCTCTTTCCTACTCACCCTTGGTGTCATCCTTGGCTTTCTGTGTGGCCAAGTCTGCCAGCCAGTGCAGAGCCGAGCTGTTGCCCTCCCCTGCTGAGCGCGACTCCTTGGCAGTGGACTGGGTGTGGTTACAGGGGGAGGATGTACCACTGGTGGAGTTACTGATACTGCCAACATGTTCTCCTCCCCCGCTGTCTGATGGCGCTGCTGTTTGTGCGGTTTCTGTTTTGACTGCTGATGTTTCTCCCTCTGATTTTGGGGTGGTGCCAAAAGCCGAAGCCGCAGCGAGGACGCCACTACTGCTTGATGCAGACTGCTGAGAAGAGCACAACCAGACGTTAGTCTTCATCTTAAACCCTGCTCACAATGCAGGAATGGAGAAATAAGAGAAAAGCAGTACCTGTGGAATCCCATTCGGGGCACTGGGGCGTACTAGAGACTTGGTGTGTCGGCTGGTGCAAGGACAATTGGCCTTAATACCCCACTTGCCTCTCGCCGAGTGCACCATGTCGCCAATGCTGTAAAGAGCTTAAGGAGAAAGGCAGAAAGTAAATAATTACACCTCTTGATGATCTATTACAAGATCATACATAATCACTTGATGCTTGTGCGGTGGGTTTTGATGATTCCATCATAATGTTCATGTTACCTGTCCCAGGTATTATCTGTGTAGGCATGAGGTTCTGTGGCTCATGAGGTTGGCCCTTGGCACACTTTAACCAAGAGAAAACCTCATCCTCAGGCCTTTCATCTACATCTGAAAGAAAGAACATATAGACCTTTGTTTTTTCAACGCACTCAAAACAACCACACAAAGTATAACCGAGTTAAGATGTTCTTCCCATTACTGTAACAAACTAAAATGATGCTATAATACAACAGGTTTGGTTGGCTCTAACATTTTCTTTATGGTTTATGTAATGACTCACCCTCCCTTGGCCTGTTCCTGCGGAGCCGATAGCAGTCCAGACACACTCCAAAGCCACACTTACGACACACCCAGTGGATGTTGAAGAGCGTGGTCTCACACACGTCACACATTTCTCTGACACCGCGCACTGCTCGTTTCCATGCCACTTTCTCTGAAGGACAGCCCAAAAACAAAACAGGCTTATAGACACTTCTGACAGTGTGAGAGACTAAATGAAAAGACAAAATAGCACACTACATGTGAATACAAAAAAGTCTTTATACTCACGGTGAGGCTCCACCATCATCATGGCCTCCTTCTCAGACATGACCAACTGGCAGAACTGGTCTCCCACATTGGCCAGGATGTACTTGGATGTATCGAGGTCGAGGCCCTCTTGGACGGCGGGAGCAGGTAGCCACAGACCCATGGCCATGGAATCGCTCTGCTGCGGACTCAGGAAGCCTTCTACACGCAGTATACCTTTCCGAGTGAAAGCCAACCTGGTCACGGGGAGAAGAAAAAAAGGTTGATTATGTAAAACATTGTTGAAACGATTAAGGATTGCTTCCTCGTTTCGGATAAATATATAGCATTTTCTCATTGATGCTCATAAACAAATTGTAAGGCTGTACAAAATATAAATGTGTACCTTCTGAAGTGGAAGAACCGACAGGACACATTTGGGTCGTCGTCGTCGCTGTCTTCGCCTGTAGTACGATATTTACGGTAGCGCTCCAGGCGGCACTCGCGGCACTTGTGCAAGTGAGGGGCCACATTGATGCAGGAGCCGTCCTGGAGGAAGGACTCGCCAGACTGCTTCAGACGCCGGACTTTGCTCTGGTCTTTCAGTACAGACTGGCCCACTGCAGGAGACAACTTGGTGTTAATTCTAATGCTCAGTTTGTAACAACTAACAAGAAAGAGACCAGGTACTTACCTTTAAAAGGCTTGTTACGTGGACGGCCCTTAGCTACCCCCTGGACCTTAGTTTTCTGCATCATGGCAGCATCCTTGACAGGGAGTGGTGGTCGTCCTGGGATCTGGCCTTTCACTGGGCCGTCTTCATTCTCACTCAGGTCTGACAGGTCACTGTTGCAGCTGGAGTCACCAGAGTCACGTTTGGACGATTGGCCCCTGTCCTCCAGGGAGAACTTCTGAGACTGGCTCTGGTCAAAGGACGCCGGGACATCTTCTATTCCACCTGGGCCGGTGCTCCCAAACAAGGGGCATGCTGAGGTGGATGAAGGCATCTCTCCAACTTCCTGCTCCTCCTTTGCCACAGTCCCTTCACTCTGTGACCTCTGTGATGAAGTCGGTACTGGTGAAGACGAAGAGCTGGGTGACGCAGCTGCTGAGGGTGCTGGGAAAGGGGAAGACAGAATCCCCTTAGGTGGCTCGGCCATAGTGAACAGGTTTGGCTTGCTGTCCGAGGCAGAACCAAGGGTCTGTGACTCGGCCCCTGAGAGGCCAGCAAAGGAGGTGTGGGCAGTTTTGTCCCCATATGCCAGAAATGGATTAGCAGGCTCTTTGGAGGCCTGCAGGAAAAGGTTCTGGTGGCTATCTGAAGTATTAAACCCAGATTGCAGTCCTAAGCCTCCCACAGAAGTCCCATTATTACTGCTCTTCTTAGAAGTACTTTGAGCTCCAGAGGCTGCAGGGAGACCACCGATGCTCAGACCAGGACCTCTTCCTCCTGCAGAGCTAGCCATGCCCTGGAAGGTCGATGACGATTTATTGAGCACACCATTTCCCGCTGTATGGGTCTCAGGCACTTTGGGCTGCTCATGCTTTTTCTGCCCTTCAGTGGAGGCTGTGGACTTGAAAAGGCTTGGGGGCTCCTTACTCAGGCTCTCAGACACTGCGGTGAAATAATTGGTGTCCTTGGACTGGGTCTGACCAGCAGCTAGGCTTGGGCTGGACCCAGAATTCTGAGTCATGCATTGAATAAACAAGTTTTGGTCTTGCTTGGATTGAGTCTCATTCTTTGCTCCTCCAAAGCCGAAGCCAAAGGGCCTGGGAGTATCCTGGGAGGCTGTGGTGGTGGAAGGAGCTCCATTGGTCTGAGAGGGCCCAGTTTGGGGCATACGAAAACCTGACGCCGTTTTGGAGCCCTAAGAAACAAAGCAATATGACAATGTGAAATAATGTTACACAACTCAAATGACTTGCAAAGGCTTAACCTAATGGTATGACTATATTGATCATCTTACCTCAGTCTGGCTTCCCCAGGTGGGGGCTTTAGGAGTAAAACCCACAGACGCAGAGAGTGCCACACTGGGGCCGCTGTCATGCGACCAAGAAATGGTGACAGGGCCCGGGGAAACAAGAGCAGCTGTTTTGGAATAAGCTGATTGTGAGGCCTCCTCTCGGTCGGTTTGGGGGGATGAGGAGGCCTTGGGGGCTGGAGCTCCGGGGACCAGGCTTGGCATCTGGCCTAGTGAGGGAAAAGACGTGGTGGAGAAAGGAGAGGGGGCAGGTTTGAGGGGAGGAGGAGTGGGAGTGTGAGTAACGGCGGTAGTGGAGTCTGCTGCACCTTGTGTGGAGAGTGGGCGACCGTTTTCTTTCACATGGGCAGGAAAGCGAGAAGGGGTAGCGTTCGATTGGTCCATCTGAAGTGAGGAGTTAGTGTTGGGGGCCGACACTCTGCCTTGAGGAAAGGTTCTTTCTGACGAGCTTCCGTTTTTGGTCGTGCTGCTGACCCTTTCGCCGGAGTCTCCGCCCCAGATCCCCATCCCTTCCACTGCTGTTTTGTTGAAGTCGCCGCAGCTTTGCCCATCAGCTGCCGTATCGCCTGCTCCTTTAAAACGCTTCAAGTTCAAGTCATCCTCGCCTTCGGACGCAGTCCTGCGCCTGCGCCCACTGTCACCCTTCATTGTATCACTGTCCTTTCTTCGCCGCCCATTCTTACCAAGTCAAAAAGAAAAGAAATGTTAGAAAGTCATAATGCACGTTTGAAATACTATCTATCAGAAGCTGAAAGCCCCTCAACAATATATACAGTGCAGTAGAACCAATTACAGAGTATAATACGATTTAAAACATGACAACCGTACCTCCTCCTCTGCCAGCATGACATGTATCACACGAGGATCTACCATCTGGGTTTCGTCTCCCTACAACAAAAAGGTACATATTTTATCATCATGACCAGAATATATTTTTACCCTGAACATTTAGTTTGCAAATTGGGGAAGGCTACCCCATTCAATTTAAGATTTTCTTTTCAACTCTTGCCTTCGGCTTGTTCCAGATAAACTTGCTAAACATCTATCCTGTTTCTTATAAATACAAACACCAAGTAAGGCAATATAGTCATCTGAACAGCCGAATGTATCTGTTGTGAACGTGACATAAGATTAACCTCTATATGTCAAAAATAGTTTTTAGTTGTTTTTTTATCTATATTTTTTAACACATCGAAATTAGACTTGTAACAATAATCCCAGTGTTATTTACCTTATCTAAGGTAATCTCCATGATGTGTGAGATCGGGTCGTGCTGTGAGACCAGTCCTGAGGCCCAGTAGTCTTCAAACTCTGGCTGGTACACACGAACCCTGCGTCCTTGAATGGTGTAGGAACCTAAAGGCAGGAACAGGGAGTAAAGAAGGAATTATATTTTGGCAGATTATTATTACAGTTATTCCAAGGTTGCTAATGCTAAATTCCCAAAAAGAAATGAATGAAACCTTGAGATTCAACACCTTAAGAACATATGGAGGTAGTAAAAGAAAAGAACATAAAAAACGGGTGACAGTTGAACAAACCCTTCCTGAAGATCTCCTGCAGTTCAAAGTCAGTACGCCAGCTGGAGACGGCAGTCTGCAGGGAGGGCTGCTCCAAAAGCAAAGGGTGTCTCAGGTCTTTGTCAACCTGCACAAACACAAACAACCACGCCCGTAAAACATAGTGATGGTGGAACAGCAATAATGTAAAACCTCACACTGAATAATGCAGGAAAGAACACCAGCACTATAACTAACAACTTCAGGTGTCATTCTAGAAAAATATGTTATATCTAGAATAACTGATATATTATGAACTAATCATTTAAGGCGTAACACACATTGTAAAGCTGACGTACACACCTCAAACCTCTGAAAAGTTGTGTTATCAGACAAGAATTCAAAATTCTTGTTTCCAAAATACTCCACAGGAACAACCGATCCTAAACCCACTCTGTCCACCAGGGAACGGAAGACCTGAGGAAAAAGGACAAGCGTGCAAATCTTAGATTCTTCCGAATATTTCCATTCCCTTCAATAGCACAGATGTAACGGGAAAATCTAATTGTACATCTCAAAACAATGCAGCTAACTGAACTCTTTCTAGGCTAAATAAACAATGATGGTCTTCATCAGTGGCGTCGCCTGGACTGGGCATTAGTTTTTTCTGTAGCCCCGGACAATTCTCCCTCAATAATATAATACATTGACCGTGCTTTACGTGAACTTCATCATGACACGAGAGAGGACGGCAGGACTGTCATTTCCCGTGTTCAGTGAATGCAACAGAGGCAAGACACCAGACCAATCAGAGAGTTGCATGGAAATAAACGTGTGCTTGTGTCATTCAAGCTCGGCTGTGTGTGTGTGCGGCAATAGCGCATTTAGTGTGATCGAGAGACAGAGACAGAGACAGAGACAGAGACAGAGAGAGAGAGAGAGAGAGAGAGAGAGAGAGAGAGACCGGTGCCAACAGGGACCGTGTTGTTAGCATCTGGTTAGCTAGCTGCACTAACGGACATCTCCTCTCAGACTGAGAGACTCAGGTCAATTTTAACTGATTTTAATATTTACTCACCACCAGCAGCAACAAATACTAGAACAATATGCATCCAAAACATATTAACAACGTTTAAAAAAGAACCGGTGTCGTTTTTTGGTTTTTCGGAAAACAGATAAATCAACGTTTTGGTTTTGTTTGTATGATTTACGGATAATCCAGTGAATGCTGGGAAAATGAGGAGAAGGCACATTATGAAGGAGATGTCCGGTCGCCAGGGTGTGTGTGTGTGTGTGTGTGTGTGTGTGTGTGTGTGTGTGTGTGTGTGTGTGTGTGTGTGTGCGTGTGTGTGTGTGAGCGTGTGTGTGTGTGTGTGTACGTGTGCGTGCGTGCGTGCGTGCGTGAGACTGGCATTTGTTTTCAGAAGATATTATGATAGTGACGTTCGTTCCGGTGCACGTCCGACAGCATTTAGCACTACATCGAGATTAAGATTAAACTAATTTATTTTGGGAACACCTGCATATAGGCTACCTATGGAGTTAGCCAGATGTGTGTAAATTACTGTTCATGGTCATTTGAAAACAAATGCCGGTGTCGGACAGACACAAACACACCGAACACACAGAGCTGAGCAGAGCACATACACACACACATCATGCGCCTTGGTGACCGGACATCTCCTTCATAAAACTAATAAAAGGGGGAGTAATCGGGCAGTTCGATGTGTGTAGAGGTGTGTGTTAATCTTTCACCAGAAAACCGTTGAAAATGGCTTTTATGATGTTCCGAGGGATTCGGCGGCTCAGTTACCGGTGCGCCAAGTAGGAAGAGGAGCATACAGGAGACAACCGGTTAATTGCAGACTGTTATGTTTATGTGGGAAATGGCAGTGCATACATTATTTGAGATATATTTCAAACTCTGACTTCATTTTAACAACATGTCGGCCAGGGGTGTAGAGCTATTTGTTTAAGCACCGGATTGGCAAAACAGGAGAGTAAACCAGTCTGCCTTGATCTATGAATTCATGTCAGGGACTCTCACGGTATCTGCTGCCCGCAGCTGTTTTATAGAAGGAAAACCTCCTTCACTTCATGAAATGGCTGCAGCATCAGGAGGCAGCGGGACGTATACTCCGCCTCTGAGAAGTGCAGCACCAGCGGGTAAAGATGTGCCTTTTTACGCACCGCCTTCGCTGTGTTTACCTTCATCAGAACAGCTTAAGAGTGACTGCAGGCTGCTACGTGTTAACCACACACACCTCTACACACATCGCAGGGGTAGACATTACAGGTAAAATGCCACTGGCCCTCCGGGCCGGTGGATTTGTATTATCACTGGCCCCACCATTGTAACCACTGGCCCGGAGCATTCGTCCAAAAAAAACAATAATGAAGAAAATTAACACATTTGTTGCCATAGTAATGTATGCACTAACTACATTACTACAACATTTTAATCATCACTTCTTCCTCAATTGTTCATATTTGGTTTATTAAAATAATGATATTGTGGTCATTGTTAAAAAAATATCTGCTATTATTATGAGTATTATTATTTGTATAATGCGCTTTCTGCCTTCCTGTCATTAGGAGTTAGACATGTAATGGCTATGCAATAGATTAGATTAGATCCTTCATTCTCCTAAACTGCTGGGACATTTCCCTATAGCCAATACCTTTATATTGTCTACTCTTCACTTACTTGTCAGTATAGGTCGGCATTGATGTAGAGAGCCGACAGAAGACCTTGTTTATATTGGCATCATATTGAGAGGTGCAGTGACGCTTCCTAAAACCAGGAAGTAAGCTGATGGTTTCCCTCGACAAAAGAGCAATGGGATTTCTCCACAGGGTTTTGGAAAATAGCTGGAAATAAGTTATTTGGAAAACAAACCTGTTTGATAAATGCACGTTTTGTTTAGCTGGATAATCTCCACATGTCTTCCCTACTTTTAAAATGTTCGAATCATAAATCTAATCGATAGATTATAAAAAGGGTTTTAGGATGCGTCACTGCACCACTCTATAGAAGCCAACTCCATCGATCAAGCTGGCTGAAACTTTCTCTCCCTCTTCTTCTCATGCTCCCTGTCACTCTCCTTGAACTCATCCGGTGACTTTCTTTTATTTGAAGATAGTTTATTGCCCGGCGCTTGGCCGGTTACTGGTGGTATTAAAAACATTTTGGCGAATGGTTAGGTGGCGCGATAGTCTGTAGTGAAGGAACACGGTCCCGCTCACGGGAGCCTGCTCGCGCTGCGCTCCGCAGCAAACAGCCGTTTGCTTTTTTACATTACATTACATTACATTGCATTTAGCTGACGCTTTTGTCCAAAGCGACTTACAATAAGTACATTCGACCAGGAAGACACAACCTTGAAGAAAACAGAATCATATAAGTACATCAGGTTTCATAGAGCTAAACATTTCAAGTGCTACTCAACTGGCTTTAGGTAATCCAGTCCTTTATTAGTATAAAAGTGCTTTGTTAATCGTTCTAACGCTCGAAGTGGAGTCGAAAGAGATGAGTTTTCAGTTTGCGCCGGAAGATGTGCAAGCTATCTGCCGTCCTGATGTCAATGGGGAGCTCATTCCACCATTTTCGCCGATGGGAACTTGGGTCCCCCTCGCAGCGAGGGCGCAACGAGTCGTTTGGCTGATGCTTTTCACCCAACAACGACAACCGACTCACGAAACGCTATGTTGTAGCATTAATAAACGAAACAATTTAACAAAATTGCTTGTCAAAATACCAATACCACAGGAAACATTTTTTTTTTTTAAAGCAATATTTTTAGTGGCCCGAGCGGGCAAGTGGAAAGTACATTATGCTGGCCCGGGGTGTATAAATAGTGCTTCCGGGCCAGCGGGCCATTTATAATGTTGAGCCCTGCATCGAACTGCCCGATTACTCCCCCTTTTATTAGTTTTATGAAGGAGATGTCCGGTCACCAAGGCGCATGATGTGTGTGTGTATGTGCTCTGCTCAGCTCAGCTCTGTGTGTTCGGTGTGTTTGTGTCTGTCCGACACCGGCATTTGTTTTCAAATGACCATGAACAGTAATTTGCACACATCTGGCTAACTCCATAGGTAGCCTATATGCAGGTGTTCCCAAAATAAATTAGTTTAATCTTAATCTTGATGTAGTGCTAAATGCTGTCGGACGTGCACCGGAACGAACGACACTATCTATACACACACACACACACACACACACACACACACACACACACCACACACACACACACACACACACACACACCACACACACACACACACACACACACACACACAGCACACACACACACACACACACACACACACACACACACACACATCACACACACACACACACACACACACACAGCACACACACACACAGCACACACACACACACACACACACACACACACACACACACACACACAGCACACACACACACACACACACACACACACACACACACACACACACACACACACACACACACACACACACACACAACACACACACACACACACACACACACACACACACACACACACACACACACACACACACACACACACACACACACACACACACACACACACACACACACACACACACACACACACACACACACACACACACACACACACACACACACACACACACACACACACACACACACACACACACACACACACACCACCTCGTTTTCCCAGCATTCACTGGCATATCCGTAAATCATAGAAACAAAACCAAAACGTTGATTTATCTGTTTTCCCGTTTTGGTTTTAAAAACTGAATAACGTCGGTTTTCCGAAAAACGACACCGGTCCTTTTTTAAACGTTGTTAATATGTTTTGGATGCATATTGTTCTAGTATTTGTTCAGGCTGTTACATACAATTAGCCTCTGTTGCTACCTGCTGGTGGTGAGTAAATATTAAAATCAGTTCAAATTGACAACCAGTCCACGATTTTCTTTTAATGTATCTGCCGGTCCTTGGCACAATAAAGGTTGGGAACCCCTAGTTTAGTTCACTTCAGAGGTCTCGGATTGTGTTCACACCGACCCAAATGAACCGCACCAAGCGGCTAAACGTACCAGGGTTCGATTCAACCGGACTATAAAAGGCTGGTGTGAATGTGCCGTTATCTCAGTGGGTCTCAAACGGTCTGGTCACAAATTATTCAAAAGATTATTTCCGCGGCACACCTTCATATGATCATTATAGTCTATATGGCAGTAAAACAAGAATACAGTTTGAAAGGGGAGTGATTTGTAAAATATCCATAAAGAAAAAGAAAATCTGTTTACAGTTGTGTTTCGTATGGGTGTTGAGAAATGTATCCATAGATCTCTTAATGTTGCTCTCAAAGTGCACCAGATTGATGCTTTTAACTTCAATATTTAAAAAAAATCTTCCCGGGGGAGCATGCTCCCGGACCCCCCATAGAGGAGGTGAGGTCCACCCCCCACTCATAAAAAATAGCACTTTACCCCTGCCTATATGCCGTGAGCTGATTATCGAGCCTTCATTGTAACAGTCGCGGGTGTACTGTGTGTGTGCGTGTGGGGAGTGTTGCAGTAGAAAATTCCACTGTAGCGCCGCCACCACTGTGGGCTAAGCCCCGAATGTCTTCAGGTCCAGGCGACGCCCCTGGTCTTCATGTCTCAAACATTTTGGTCATGTTACAGTGAGTCATATCTGATTCAAAAACAACTATTCCAGTTAGTTAGACATTTGTTTTTAGCCACCTCTATGTGTGGGTGGGCCTGGGCAATTAAAATTATCTATAAAGTATATCAGGGTTTAGTGCAAAGTGCAAGGTTCCCCTGTGGGGTTTGAGATGAAAACATGTTTATATTATAAATCTAATCTGTGCGACAGCTGCAAAAATTAAATAGACTAATTTCACATTTTGGGGGGAAGTTGCCCTTTACTTGGCCCAGCAACTAACGCTTCAGGGTGTGTGTGGCAACAATTATTCATTTTCTAGCACATTTATGACAAAAAACATTGCTGATATTGAATTTTTGTTCCTTTAAATGAGCTAATAATCATTTGCTCCTGATGTCTATTCCCCCTGTCAGCAGGTCATTCAGATTGTTTCAAAGCTAGACTTGTTTGCATGATGCAGACGGTCGCACTGAGCACTCACCAGAGCGGGCCAGGCTGCGGAGGATGTTGGGGCCCCGGCGGTCCCAGTGCCATCACTTCGATTGGCCCAAACAATGGAGTCCTCCACCAACAGTGCTTTTACCCCCTTGTCATACACTTGCACCCAAGAACAGCTCTGCACCACATTTTCAAACTCCACGAATACCTGCAGTCAGAAAAACAGAGAGAAGCAGAACATAAACAAAAGGACTGCTCACCAACCGTAACTTTAGAACATGTTGTTAATTAAAAATGGTGGAAATATGGTCAGAAAATGTTGAATGTTTGTTCAAAGAATTTCCATTTTACCGTTTATCTACAAAAAATGTGAAAAATGTCAATGGAACATATAAACATATAACTTTGCATATTTAATGCTGATAAGACTGTAAAGGGGCCCCTTAACCGCTCGAGCAAGAGTTGGGTAACACTAGCATAGAACAAAAATGTGACTGACTGGTTGGCCTGTCAATCATTACTCGCAAAGCTACTTTAACATAGTCCATTTTCCCTTCAGTTATATTATATTTATTATGTTAAATGATATGATATTTTTTATTATTTCTTGCATCAATATCAAAGTCTTTTAAAATATGTCATAGCCTGAATATTAGAGTTCAACATATATAGCTGTGTGGTTGTGTCTAAACTCTGACTGTCTGTCTTGTAGTATCTGCTGGCCACTGAGAAGCCCATGGGGTAGTTTGGGGGATAGATTCACATGACAGTCGCTCTGTGTGAAAAACGCAACCCTCTCTTTAATTTGAATGAAGCGATTGGTCAGCGCATCTGGGGTGCCACTGCCCATGGAAGAGGCCGCGGCCAAACAGCGCAGGGCTGATCAGCTGAAGAACAAAGGTTTGCAGAGTAAAGATGATTACAAACCGTTGTGGCGTCTGGTAAATCTTTACCAACGAATCTGTTGTTTAAACCAGACTTCCTGGATAGTTCGTTATGACTCATGGTTCAACCACAAGCAAGACTGGTATGCATATGCATTGATTCACTATGGAAAAATAAACTGAACAATGACACTTGTTTGACCAAAGTATTAAAGTCTAAATTAACTTCTACACAAACTCACAAAGTGAACCTGATTCTCCTCATGAAATGCATGTGATATGTGTACTGTTGTTGACTTTGATCACACTTACTGAAGACACCATGACACCTCCTATTTATCAGTTATAAAGTTGACGGCAGAGGTTTAATATACTTTGTGCTTGAGTGAAGTAAAAACAGATACATTTAAGCTTTAGGCTACAATTGTTCTTTTTAAAAGCTGTGAGAAACAGACTGGACTGTTATCGGTGTGTGCCTGTCTGACACCCACACCCTGTAGCTGTTATTGGTTAACAACATCTGACTGTGCGAATGACCAGGCAATCGCTCACCTGCTGAAGTTTAGATAGATATGGCAGGGCTCGACATTAAGGACTGTCCCGATGGCCCGGGGCCATCTAGTATTTAGCTCGGGCAATGAAGCCTCACCTGCTGGTTGCCCGATCGGGCAATCTATTATGCCAGTATCATGCAGCTCGCGGATCCAGTAATGAGTGACCCGACAGTAAAACTAAACATATCTATAACTAGTTTAGGTAGTTTGAGAGGTAATTAAAATAGCTACGTGTGATGTTCTAACCTGAAGTGTGTGTTTTGTCCGCTCACCGCTGCAGGTGATTATGCAGAGCTGCGTGTCGACTCGTCAGCAGCAGCTGATCTCTCTCTCCCGTCAGATTAGACTTCACTCGCGTTTATGTCCATATCGACCAGATCTAGCTGGTTCTAGCTAATGATAGCACTACCTGCTTATTAAAAGACACCTAAACAATAAGTGTCGCTATGCAACCGGGTGAGGCCACAAAGTATAGCACAGCATTATGCATTTGTTTACATGCCCACCGGAACCCCGAGGCATTACCAACAGATCAACGCACAATCAACCCATACAGGACATCTCTTTCTTTAGACATTAGAATTGACTATTCTTGTCTGTCACATACTCTTCTTGTCTGTCACATAAGTGGCGCAACTGAAGCGGTATTGCGCTAAAGGGAAATTATTTTGACCGAAGAGATTTAGATTTGCCGGCTAACGGGAAATCTGACGTCGCCATTTTGTGTGCTTCGCGGATGCGCTCGGCTCCTCTCGACTGCTGCTCGGTCAGCTTCCGGATGAGGAGGCGTTCGACCAATTTACAGTAGATAACTTTACAAACATTTTTAACAGGGGCCATAATAGTGTAAATAATGTTTGTTTTGGCAGTTATAACTGAATGTAATGTTTTCTACTTTTTTACATCTGGGAAGGCATTTGCCTTCATCAGATGGAAAGTGTCTTGACCAACAACTTAAGTATTTCTTATAGCTATGCAGGGCATGCAAGCGAGCAAACACAAACAAACAAGTGAAATGAAGAATACAATTGAAATTGTACAATATAATATTGTGGTCGTTCATCTTATAATTCAGTCTAGAGAACCAGACAGCATCTACAGTAAGACCTGCAAAAATCTAAATGTTCTAGGGTGAGGCCCCCCAAACCCTTCGTGCGTAATTTCGTCCGCGCACATTTTTCAGGGCAATCTCTATTGGGCTCAGGGCCATCTGTAAATTAGCTTAGATGGCCCACAGGGCCATCTCCCAAAATCCTTAATGTCATGCACTGTATGGACTATTTCTTAAGTTTAATACAATAAAAACATAACACTGTTAACAATAAGGTCTGTGTATTATCAAATTGCAATTCTGCAAGTAATTGCATTGAGGTGGCTGCCGTTCTCCCTTAGAGAGTTATATTATAAACCTGAGCAAAGAAAACCAAAATATCCTTTTGACTAGAGAATACCATAAGTTAATGTTTCACTTTGTTTGGGTTAGTCAACTCTTCAAACAATAACGAATGGAGGCACCAGTGTAAAGCCACAAGTGATTTTGATGTCACAAAGTTTAACTAGGGCAAAATTCCTTCCAAAGAAATCCGACAGCCCATCACTATATGCATCCTGGAGTTTATTGTGAATAGTTGGCGATATGTAATTTCCATTTATTTTTTTGCAGACCACCTAGCGCACATCCCTAGGAAACATAAGAAATGGTATAAGTTGACCGATAAATTGTCGTTTAAAATCTGCAGGGTTGTGGTTCCATATTCATCAATGAATGAAAAGCAAATCCCTAATTTGAGTCACATTAGATATTACCGCAGTTTTCAGGAAAATCCTAAACTATAGAGACCAACAATGTTATACTGCAGTGTTACAAAGTGTGACAGCAACGCGATACAGTAGTATTATGTGTATATTGTCATCTCTTTATTAACTGGGTGACACTTGTCTTGCTGGTACAATAAACGGAAAGGTACCAGAAACTAAAGAGGTGAAACATTGAAGGGTGATGTTTGCAAACCCTTAAAGCTAGAGTTGGGTAATATTGAAGTAAATAACCCAGATATTCTGACATACTTCTATACAAATGAACAGTTTTTCCCTGTAAACTTTTCATGATACGTGTTGTGAACCTGAAAAATATGCGCCAACTGAATCAGATGCCATCGGTGCAGAGATTTAACAAAACCGTTTTATATATCCTGGAGCATAAATGGATTTTTCTTGGATAGCCAAAACAGTTTTGTTATCTTTTGATACAAGGTGATGCTCCATGATCCCATTACAATAGACAATAGACATTGCCTGCAGCAATTGTTTATCTCGCTTGGAGAAATGTTGTACTGTAATAGATGGGTTCCACAACTGAAATGATGTTACTGTAGTTATCTAACTAAGAAAAGTAAAACTTGATATAGCTACATGTTTTCTTGTAATCTGATATTTTCTACACAGTGGAAATGTCACTGCATGAATTTGAGCCACATTGTGCAAATCTGCATCTGTTCACATTTCACCATTGTGGCCCTCCATTTACACATGTTCAGCAGTAAGAGATACTTTCTTTCAATGTACTCTTTTAAATGTAAAAAGGGCCCTTCTGCAACAAACTAAGGACCATTAATTATTATGTTGTGCTATTTTTTTTAATAATCTGCCAAAATGGACCAAATTCATTTATTAAATCCTTACTCTACATTAATTCCTATCATGTGATTTTCAAGCCAATTAACCTAGCTCCGATGAATCATTTATTAGATTCTGTACGAGAAAATCTGCACTTTAAAAGCACTGCACTAATAATGTGTTGATTTTAGGGATGCACGTTATTGGTTTTTTGAAACCGATACCGATAACTTCCTGCTTCTCAAGACCGATACCGATAATACAAAATAATGTACGCCACTAATTATTTTAACGCATGTGTATTTTTTGTCCTCGGCCGCCCCGTAGTTTCAGAGCGCATCGAGTTTAAAATACCATCTACAAGCTGATGCTGACAGCCCCGCTCCTGCCGCCCGCTTGTGGCAGACCACACTTCCACGCTCACCGGCAGGCACCGACTGGCTATTGGGAGGACCGGGAGGGTGTGTGTATGTGTGGCCCAAGCGAGCGAGAGAGAGACCTTACGTGCATTGTTGTTGTTAGCATCTGGTGCTAGCTAGCTGCGCTAACGGATATACGGAGCTGTTTAAATGAAAACAGAGGAGCGACATTTCGCCACAACTGCGCCGAGCACTTGACTTTATGCAGGAAGTCAGACAGTGGGACATCGTACGAAAAGTCAGCACACTCAGCACGGATAGTGCGCAACATGAGTTGCACATAGCTCCAACGCCCATACCACCGACGAGATGTTTGTTTACTGTCCTGGCTTCACGGCCGCACACCATTTACGTCACAGCCAGGCATGAGTTAGGGAGCGCTGGATTTGTGAAGAACTCCCCTCTTCCTAAACCACTAATACCACAGTACTGGCAAAACGGGAGGAGCCGAGTGAAAAACAAGCGCCCCTCATCCCAATCCACCCACACCGCAGTATTTTTTTCTTTTCTTTTTTACCCAAAAAATATATTGTATATTATCGGGGCTATTAATACTGGTATCGGGTTTATCGGGATGACGTCATAATTCCTAATATCGGGCCGATAATTATCGGGCCGATAATTATCGTGCATCCCTAGTTGATTTAAATATATATAATTTTAACTGCACAATTGAATACTATTGCAAACGCCAAAATATAGGTCACTCACCACCACCACCAACCAGTGTACTGTGTACAAATCTCAACCAAATGTCTCTGCGATAACAGCTTGAAAGGATTAATGTCGTTCTTGAAAGGATTAATGTTGTTCATTCAAGAGTTTATCACATTACAAACTAGCAGAGGTGGAAGAAGTACTCAGATCGTGTAATTAAGTAAAAGTAGAAATACCACAGTGTAAGCATACTCTGTTACAAGTAAAAGTCCTGCATTCAAAATGTTTCGTAAGTAAAAGTACAAATTATGCAGTTTGGCTAATACAATATATATGTTGTTCTGTGCTGTTGTATTAGCTGTAAAGTGTCTCTACTGTAGGCTATTTTTATTTTATGTACAGCACTTTGGCTCGACCAAAAATCGTTTATAAATGTGCTATATAAATAAAACTTGATTTTATTGATTTTATTTTATTTGATTATAGTAATTGACAGGCCGGGACTGGCCATCGGGAGGACCGGGAGGTTTCCCGATGGCCTGGCCTGTTAAGGCCTGCTGGCCTGAGGAATTTCTTTTTTTAATGTATGTATTGTGAACGCAACGCTGCGCAAATGTGGGTCTGACTCTGCCTCACAGAGGGTGACTGGCTGTCTACATGATGTGGCCTGCCGACATGGCCACTTTCATACAGATCATACACTAATGCCCTCGATTGGTCTCTGTGTGTCATTCAAGCTCGGGAGGGTGTGTATGTGTGGCGCGAGCGAGTTGGAGAGAAAGCGCGCGCACCGGTTACGTGTATTGTTGTTGCTACCATCTGGTGCTAGCTAGCTGCGCTAACGGATATAATGAGCTGTCAACAAGGTGGAGGAGAGTCCTCTGCTGTCAGACTGAGACTGATAACTACAGCTCAGGTGAGGTAAAGGGCTCCGAGTGTTTAGATAGTTAACTTAGTCTAAGTTCTCTGTGGGTCTCAAACGGTTTGGTCACCATTTATGTAAACACATATTTCCATTTGAAGGGAGAGTGATTAGTAAAATATGCATGAATAATAAAAAATAAAATGTTAACTAGGTGAAAAAAGGTAAGATAAACTTTATAAACTTGTTGAGAGCTAAAACTAGTCTTTGCTGCTGCCTCAAAGAGGAGCAGGGGGGAGAGGAGGGAGACAGGTGAGGCTGATTCAGGAGCCCAGACACACTAAATGAACCAAAAACAAATAAACAAGTTTCAATGTTTTTTCATATTGGATATGGTATGTTATTGGTTATGGCCATGTTCTTATGATTTCATGATTATTTAAATGTATACAGTTCTGTTTCATATGGGTGTTGTGTCTTTATTTCCCCCTCAAAATGCACCAGATTGATGCATTTAAGGCCCCGGCCACACGAGGACGAAAACGGCTAAACGCATAGGATTAACGCAAACGCAAAAAAGCTTCCGTCCACACTCAATATTCACCGGATAGTGTCTGTCCACACGAGACAGCTCAGTTTAGCTCCAACCGCTGGAGAAGCTGCAGTACATATGCAGGAGCCTGTACGTGACGCTGTAACTTCCTCCACAAAAGCAGCGAAGAAGCATGGTTGTCATGGTTGCCCTTCTGTTTATTCTCCGCGGTGGGGCCCGAGGGAACCGGGCAGAGTTTTTCGCCAGTCAACGTGTATTAAAGTTTAAATCTTACGACAAAATTATAAAAGTGCCGGTCAAAGGTCTTCTTTGTTATTTATTGAGCTTTAAAACAAATGAATAACGAATCTATATATTATAATAATAAAATACACGGAGCCTCTCTTTTTCCTCCCTCTCTTCGGACAGTGCCAGTGTCTGTTTCATGCAGCAGCTGATCCAGTAATGAGTGACCCGGCCGACAGTAAAAAATAAACATATGTATAACTAGTTTAGGTAGTTTGAGAGGTGTCTCCGTCCTGTCAGATTAGACTTCACTCGCGTTTATGTCCATATCGAGAGAAAGATAAATAATCTGAATTCAGTGTGCAGTTTACTTTGACGCGGGGGTGAGCAGCAGAGGTGGGGAGAGGCGGGGCTATTGCCTCATCATTATCAGAAAATGATCGTATAGGGCGTACACACGGAGCCGTTGGACCCCCCAGAGCGTTGCGTATGCCGTTCTATCCACCTTGGGACCCGTTATCGTTTCCGCAGTCGTTTAGTGCCGTATTCGGTCGTCCTCGTGTGGCCGAACGGTCTATAGGACACTAAACAGTAACGCAAACGACCGTTTTCGTCCTCGTGTGGCCGGGGCCTGGAGGATTTCAGGTCCACCTCCACTTAAAATATGTTCACATGGATAGGTTCCTAGATGTGCACAGCAACGCTGTATATATTGACAAATAAATCCAGGAAAATGGCACAAAAAGAAAACTGGTAGTGGCCTGGCTGGGTGTATAATTCCCAGCCTGACTTATTGTCCCAGTCCGGCCCTGGTAATTGATACATTTCTGTGTTTATCATAGCTGGTTTTTTAATTGATTTGTATACTGCAGGTTAGCTTGTGAATTGACTCTAGGTGTAGCTAAAGTCTTATTTAAGAGTTAATTATATTTCACACCATTAATCCAAATCTACAAAGTAACTAAAGTTATTAAATAAATGTAGCTGAGTAAAAGTCCATCAAAATTGGACTTAAGTAGTATTTCAGTAAATATACCTAGTTATTTTACACCACTGGCTATCGTTAAAGCCAAAATATAGGTCATTCACCAACACCACCCAAAATGTGTACAATTCTCAACCAAATGTATCTACGGTAACAGCTAGAAAATATTAATGTCATACATTCAATAGTTTATCAGATTACAAACGTGTGTGGGTCTGAACATTGAAAGAGTGAAGTGGAAAGAATCCCTGCTTCACCCTCATATGAACTTGTAAGGCCTTTAACTCACTATAACTAACGATGGGAATTGACAAGCTAATGCTGATTTCACTTAGCTTTGCGAGCAATTTAATACAATATCGTGTTCGTTAAGTTATCTCTGCTGCATATGAACCGTGTAATTGATTGCTACGAAGTTAAAAATAATACTGGTAGAGCTTAATGACATTCGTTAACCAGCTAACAAGCGAACAAAGCAAAGGCCAGAAAATCCCCGGCCTCGAGTTTAGCTTCGCCTCACTGCCTGCGACTTGTAGCTTGCTAATATAAATGCAGGAGCGTGCGTTAACTGCCGACAAACGTGCCAACATGGACGGTTGAAATCAATTAAACGAGGCCACACGCATACTTAATAGCTAGTAAACATTTTATATATGAATTGGGCAGTATGAAGCTACGCAGTACGCTATAGCTTGTATGTAAACACTGACCGTCAGCCCTGCAGCAGGGCTTGTTGTTGTCGCCTCTCCTCCCTCCGGGGCGGCCAGGCCGATGACGCTCACCGCCCGCACCGTGCCCCGCAGCCAGTCCCGGGCCCAGGCAGCCTGCTCCGGCTCGGATCCATTTGCAGACCTGCCGTCGTCGAGGAGCAGAAAGAGACGCTTCCCTATCAGCTCGAGAGAGTCCCCCATGATTTTGCTCGCAAGCTAGCTGCCTTCAGTGAGCCACCGTGAACAGAGTAACTTGGGACGGGAACTCCAGACCACCAAGCAGCAGCGGAGACTCTGTGTTTAATGTAATTACCGGTGCACCAGGTGCACGCAGCGGCGGACCGGGGCACGCCGGGGATTAAACGCAGTGGAGATGTTATTGTCCTCGGTGCTAACGCGACTATCCTGCTCTGTCCGCCATTGAGCCCTGCAACAATCAAACGCACTCCTCGTAGACAGGCAGCACTGCGGAGACAGAGAGCCAGCACGTGCGGAAACAGCGGCCTCCAGCGGCTGGCCTGCAGGTGGATCCGGTTATGGTTATCATCGAGCACTGGAGGATGGCAGTTGTCAGGGTTTTCCGCAGTGTTAAAAGTGTACTGTCTCTCCTGATATAAGAGGTGGAAAAGTACTCAGGTCTTGTAAAGTGAAAGTACCAGAGTGTAGAATACTATGTTACAAGTAAAATTCCTGGAATCCAAATGTTTCTCAAATAAAAGTAGAAAAGTACTCATTATGCAGATTGGCCCATTTCATAATATCAAATGTTTTGATTATAGTTATTTATGCATTAAAGGGGACCTATTATGCAAAATCCACGTTTTCATGTCTTTTATACATAAACATGTGTCCCCTCTGTGTAAAGAGATTCTGAAAGTTTCAGGAAAAAAGATTTGCTCACTTTTTGTCCTGATCCAAACCTGATCAAAACCTGTCTGAAAATGAGCTGATCAGATTGTTGCCACTTTATGATGTCATAACGATTTTTTGGCTTGTGTAACCATTAGCCAATCATCAACCAAGGTAACCCCTCCCCCCTTATCACCTGAATCTCTTCCTTGAGCACCATTGTGTTCTTTTTAACCAAATATCTCTCAGAGGGGCGTGGGGAGTGGCTCCTTATTTTCATCTAAAGTAACAGACAGAGAATCAGCACTTTTGAAACTGGGCTGAAACAGTGGGGATTATGGGTAATGCTGCAATGATCTGTTTGGTATTTGGAGAAAAACACTTCAGAGACATGTTTTGTATCTGAGACTTATAATATATTGATGAAAAACAGTATAATAGGGGACCTTTAATGTGTTTATCAAAGCTGGTAAAGGACATATACTGCAGGGTAGTACCTTCCTTGTGAATGTTACTCCAGGATTAACTAAAGTCTTATTTAAATGTTGATTCTATTTTACATTATTAATCCTAATCTGCAAAGTAACTAAAGATATGAAATGCATATAGTGGAGTAAAAGTATACAATTTAGTTCTGAATTGTAGTGGAGTAGAAATACAAAGTAGCAAAACAATAAAATTAAAATAAAAGTCCCTCAAAAAATTATACAGTACAGTCCTTGAGTAAATCTACTTAGTTACTTTATACCACTGCTCTCCTGATATCAATCTGGTTTGGGTCACTTATAATTCACAAATGACATGTCAATGTTTGTTATAGAGGTACCGTGATACATTGGATTAGGCTACATACACAAAGTAAACTAATCTGAATTGAAGATTTATGGATTACTTTCTTGGAATAGCATTAGAAATATGGCACCCATACTTACAATAATGGACGCAATCACAGCAATTTGAATCCCACAAATATTCAGTCTTTCTTTTATAACATTTTTAATGCAAATATTATTGACTTTGCACATTCAGCATTTCATTAGTACACATTATTCATCATGAATACACAATACAAAAATTGCCATCTTTTAAAGATGTATGTCAAAGTGTTTACATAATCTTTGTATTTCCTTATAATTAAAGTGATCTTAGCTAGAAGTTTCACACTGCTGAACAAAGCAGATTGTCTGTTTATTATTTAATAATTAAGTTATATTAGTAGTCATTCTCGTGTATGACCCCTAGGAGGTGCTACAGCCCCACACACATCAATGCAATGCAGTTAGGAGTATTTCTAGGGGTGTTCTGCCAGAGTGAATTTATCCATAAAGAAAAGGTTAATATCTACACTCCTTTATTAAACATCCAAATACGTACATATATTAGCCTGGGACCACGAAGCACTGAGTTGTCAAAGTTTAGTATGAGAGATATTTTGCAGTACAACTGAACTCATTTTCATCTATAAATATGTAGAACTGCAACTTCTATTTTGGTGAATGCAATGCATCGTACCCTTTTCCCACCATGATATTTATGGCTGTGTACTTACTTACGTTTTGGCTTTGAGTTCTTTGGACACAAATAAAGAAGTGTCAATTCTAGTCTAATAATTCTCTGGCATACACAAATAAATTGACTTTGTCTTTTAGGATTGCAAATCAGGAATGTTTTTTGGTCTCATAAGAGTTTTAAATAAAGACGCTTGCTTTAAATAATAACATTTTCCAACTGAAAAGCCATACAGGTTACATGGAATTTTTTATGTGAAAAACACACTTCCATATTTATTCACCCGTTATACAAGTAGAGATACATCATACAGTATATACAAAATCTCAACATTAAAATATCAAAAGAGATGATAATACAAATATTTTTCTTTCTTTCTATAAAAACCTTTCTTAAAAAAAGCATCTTAAAATAATACAAAATATGCCAGCGTCTTTGGACTAGCTCAAAAGTTCAAGTCAGCTATTATGTGTTTCTTGTAAAGGGCGATATTTAAAAACTTGGGTGTGAGGTTATTTTTGAAAGAGCTGCATGTGCCAAGCATGTATAGGTTCTCTAAGACAACTTATGCCCCCGTGCCTTTAAAAGTAAGCAGTATGTGCAAGGACCTTTGTGTGCCTACATGTAAGAGTGTGTGAACGATTTGTGACTGGTGTGCCAGTATCAGTGTTCAGATTAAATGCAAATGTTTTTAAGGACAAACCACAATAAGTCTCAAACAGGTCTTTGAGGAGGAGCATTTGTCCTCTAAAATGTTCTATTTGAATCACAACCATTTATGGAAGTGGCTTTTTATCTGATCACATTTAAAGTGTTGTCTCAAACATAACTTCCTAATGCTCTGCTACACTCAGACTTCAATGTCCTTTTATTGCCATTAAACACACCCAAAGGAGCTCTAATACTAGTGAGCAGCAAGTCTTTCATTTCCACAATTTGACTATGACAAACATCTTTGCATTAACAAGGAAATGCTCAAGATTGCAGCAATATTTCTCAGTCCAATAGTCATAATGTGAGAGTCCCAGTGTTGAGTACTGGCAGTATCTGTGCTTGTGTGTTACTGGAGTCTCATACAGCTCTGTGATACACATGTAGTCTGTTCCTCCATCTCAGGGCAGGGGACGCCAGCATTGGCCGGCCGCAAGAGGATGTACCGTGTGCGGTGGCGGACACCACCTCTGGAGCAGGAACCAAGACACAAGCCCCAGGATGACCAGAGAGACACTTCACAGTCCAATGGTGTCGCTGTATCAAGGGGAACGAGATGTGAGAAAAGTACAGTATGGGTGAGTATGAGAGGAGAGCAAAGAATTCACAAGTACAGTTACAAATCTCTTCATAAATAATGTTTGTATTTGTATGTTGTTGTAGCATCTGTAGATAATGCAGAACTCTCAAAGTTGGACCATATTATAACTTTTACGCAGGCATGACGTGAAAATTCCAGGTCACATTGAGTGAAAAACATTTTTTTAAATCTTCTGTAATCATACATTAAGGTCCCCCTGCATCATTAAAGGATAAGTACATTTTGAAAAATAACAGAAATGGTGTGAGTCTGGTCTGTCCTACATAATTATTCCTGTCATTTCTTATCACTTCTCTACCATGATTGGGATACACAGCTTTTTCAAGTTTCCCATGATCGGATAAACGATTAATGAACATTCTCCAATATCAACTTTTTGTCACAGTGTTTGATTAAATCCTACATCGTCCCATCCATACCCTCATGCAATGCAAATCAATGTAAGAGGATTTATCATTGTTGTTCATTAACCTGTGTTCCCCAATTCATTTAAAAGCATCATGATTAAATTCCAGGTAATAGTTTTGGGTAATACTGATGTTGGGAGTCCTGTGGTCTTACCTGAGAAGTGCCGGGGAATGATAGAGTTTGGCAGAATATGATTGGACATTGGGGTTTGACGGTCAGATGATCTTCTCTGTCGCGTGATCTTTATGCTGCCTATAGGTGGAAGGTCCTTTAAACGTGGATAGTAAAAGGAGTTGGCTGGATGGTTGGGCATCTCAGGTGTGATCTAAACAAGTCAGCAAAGAACAGTCAGGCATAATTCATCAGGAGAGCTGGCTCAAGTTCAAATACATAATTGCCCACTATAAAACACATGCTGGGAAAGGATAGATGGTCTAATAGGTAAGAGAGGCCCTATTTACCCCAAATCACTTCGGGTTAGGCATGAAGGCCGCCAAGCAATTACTTAAGTGCAGACAGCTTAGAATGATGTCCCATTCCCATGCTGCTAATTTAAGAAGAGGACCCTTGCCTCACTGTGGAATGAATGACTAAATTAATGATTTCATGAGGAACCAATGAGGCTTTTTATAGTTGTGAAAACTGCAATGTTTCACCTTTGTGATGTTTTCTTGGGGGATGGTGGGGAAGTTTGGAGAAGAGAAAGTGAATCCACTGTCAGTCCCTGCATCATAAGGCTGGAGGTCAACAGTCACTTCCTGTTTCCACTGGCTGCCTTCGCAGAGGTCAAGGCTGTCCACACCGACAAACCAGTCGGGGCTGGGGATGATCTTCACCATCAGGGACAACTGTCGGAAAAAAAGGGAGAATAAAGTTAGATCAAACTTTATTATTAACATACATTTTACAGGTAGACAGACAGTAGAAGGAGCAATAAAACAGAAAGATTAGACACGCAAATTAACAGATTATGTTTATAAACCTAAATTACTTCATAAAATCAGTTATTTATTAATCATTTTGATTGCTCAAACATCTCAAACATGACTGTAACAAATTGAAGAGCAAGGATGCTAACTTATAATCGTTTGTATGCTTAAGTTAAACTAAGATGGTGAACATGGTAAACATTATAACTGCTAAACATTTACGTGTTAGCCTTTAGCTCAAGGGACTGCTGTGCTAAAGAACATATGTTATTTATTTATTTTCCAAGACAATTGTTTTGATGATCTTTATTTGCGTTGTCAAATTATAACTGTAAATTACACTTAAACACAATTGTAGTGAAATACTTAATTCACGAGGAGAGTTGTGCATAGAGGAGGTAAACTAATAAGGACAGAAATGAGTTTAACACACACTCATGTCATCCTGATTTATAAACTTTGTAACTTG